TTATCTGAGCTGCAGTCAGTGGGAGAATTGACAGAGACCACGAAGAGGAAACGACGAGTGTCCCTATCTTTACGAGTCCTTACTGTTCCGTTTAGTCGGACATCACAAAAACGACTGTCTACTGGGATCCACTCTAAGAGAGCCTGTTCTGCCCTAGGACTCAATACTATACCTACGCCGGCGAGGCCACGAGAAGCAGCATCTGGGCTTCCGAATACACGAAGTGTGAGTCGAGTTGGTTCTTTATTTTGACATGGTGATGTCAAATGAATGACGTTACTTGGATCCTGGAAGCGCGTTTTGGAGACGCAGCACACATCGATGGCGTGAGATTCTAGAGTCCTAGCTATGGAAGCCTGTTGTCCTATTTGGCTCAGTGTTCGGACGTTAAAAGCTTCAACATGTAGTTTAGAGCGTGGTTTCAGGAGACCAGGAATAACGTTCCGCGTACTCGAATCGTTTGCACTGGCGGTGCGAGGTGATAAAGGGACGTGAGGAGGGTTAGTCGTGGAGATAAGAGAGGTATTAGGAGATGCAGGAAAGATTTGAATGTGACCAACTTGGTCTCTTGTGCTGTTACGGGCATAAGGGCTGATGTCACTTCCCGGCTGCCCACACCGTGGAAGGGTATTTCTTGAGGAACCTGAAAAGAAAGTTCGATTAATGTTGGCCTTAACGACCTGGGAGCGTGACCGCAGAGCCCAAGGGACAGCTGTTTGCGGCCGGCCGCGTACGGCCTTTACGTGTGAGGTTTTTAATGTGTTAGCTCCGTTCGTCAAAGGGCCTGTTATAATCTCTTTCTTCTTACGGTTATGACCCAGCTATTCCTATTGCTTAGTATTCTTGGACACCGATTCACTCGACAAGTCCCCAAATCAGAACACGGTTGAACAGGAAGGAGATTACATTCCAAATAACTAGGTTAGATGGAAGCAAGAAGCAAGTCAGAAGCACAATAGGGAAAAACGTCAGTATATTTATAGTTTTTACATAAGAAGATTCCAGAATATTCTCCAACTATCGACTAGCGCTGATTGGATAAGAATTAGCCAATCAGCGTGCACCAAAGCAATCATGCATTGAGCATGCTTTAATCTAGTCTATGTCCCGCTAACACCTCCCCTCTGAGCAGATTCGTAGGATCTGGTGCTAGGGTCCAACTGCAACTGAGTGACTGGCTTGTGCTCTCGATTAGTCCATCGTCTAAGCAATAAAGAATTATCACTTTTTTCTTACACCGAGACTGACGTGTCTGTTCCCGGCGTTTTGATTTTTTTTTTTAAAAAAAGTATGCATAACTTTTAATTCTCCAACATTCTCCTCCTCCGCGAAACAATGTCGGATCCTTATATCTCCAAGTTACAAATAATAGGACTTTATTTAAACGATGTATCTTGCATTGAATGTCGGATCCACTAGAAATGACTAGATGATAATGAACGACCTTTGATTTGAGGTCAGAGTTTAATTCTTCTGATGCATTACTTTCAAATCCATTAGAAATTTCATCATTGGATAATGGATCATTACGGAAATCAACATCTAACAAAATTAAATTAGACTTTTGACCATAATTTGACTCAGCCGACATATCTTCCTCATTTTTATAAGAAATTTCATCAAAATTACATGCATTATTCTGAGAACCCATATCTGATACATTGTCGTTAGAAATCGGATAAGCTGATTCGGTATAAATTTCTGTCTCACAATGATTTTGAGTAACATTCAGTATATTTGGGTTCATCGTGTCACTGCAGTTATTTTCTGAATACGAGTCTCCATAGCTTTTTCGGCTAATATCACGTGGACCATAATTTTGTTCTAGCTGAAGTTTATTTTCAGAGCTAGACAGGACCAGTAGTGTTTCATTCAATTCTGGACTCCGAGCTTCATCTACAGGGTCTGGCTCTTGATCATCTCGTATTGCTACAACTTTATGAGCATTCAGCACAGTATTTTCTTTCTGTGAGCCGGACACGTTACAAATATTACGTTCTGATTCAGGTATAAATGGATTTGAACCCTCCACTAGATATGCTTCTGAAATATCTGTTACTGCATCATAAACAGATTTCTTATTTTCTGGTCGAGTGAAAAGTGTGCTCAATAGTTGTTGTTGCAAGGCTAACAACTTCTGCTGGTGCTGTAATAATAACCGCAACTGTTCTAAAGAAATCGCCATTTTTCTTTAGTTTTTCCCCGTCGCCACTGTTATAACTCTTTTCTTTTTACATTTATGACCCAGCTATTCCCATTGCTTAGTATTCTTGGACACCGATTCACTCGACAAGTCCCCAAATCAGAACACGGTTGAACAGGAAGGAGATTACATTCCAAATAACTAGGTTAGATGGAAGCAAGAAGCAAGTCAGAAGCACAATAGGGAAAAACGTCAGTATATTTATAGTTTTTACATAAGAAGATTCCAGAATATTCTCCAACTATCGACTAGCGCTGATTGGATAAGAATTAGCCAATCAGCGTGCACCAAAGCAATCATGCATTGAGCATGCTTTAATCTAGTCTATGTCCCGCTAACAGGGCCTTACCACCGGAGACGAAAATCCGTGAGGTAAGGTGAGGTGTGACATTTTTACGGTCGACCTTTTGTGACCCCTTTCTTTCTTGTGAGAAGGCAGCATCGCTGCAGATGCTGGTTGCCCGAGGGAAACACTATTGCTGTCACACCCCTCTACAGTTAGCAGTACAACTTTGCCCTCAGACCTTGAGTTGCTGCTTTTAGTCTTACCGTTCTCCAATCGACCTGCCTGGTATGGTAGAACCTGCAGGAACATATGTTCCAGCCAATATAGCTCGGTTGGGTCATCACGATAGGCAAGCCCGACCACCGCGTCAGGGTAGCAGCTACGTTCGGGGTTATACGGAGCTAAAACTTGTGAAACTACCACAACTTGGAGTCTTAAAGGCAAAAGAAAAAGAGGGAAACCAAAGGGAAAACACATCGGGCTGGAAACCCTAGACAGACATCAGAATGAATAGGACTTGGCAACAACTGGAAAGGAGAACCCAGGACACAGTTGTTTTAGCGATTCCTGATCAGTAGACTATCCTCTGAGAGGGGTAAGAGGGGTTACAAGAAGAAGAAACAGATAGGTAGATGTGGGCTATTCGTTACGGTAGTCATCAGATAGTCTTTACAGATTGGTTTCGACCATAGGTAGTTTAATTATTTTTATTTATTTGATGAACATAAATGCAGTACAATCGAGCACCAAAAATACAATTCGAATAGTGTTAATATTATTAAGATAAGGAAGACCTTGAATTACGAAAGCTCATTGCATTATTGTGAAGACTATGATGAAAAAACGACATATTGGACCCCAACCTATAGAATGGTAATAGACCGATAGATGCTAGTCTTAAACGACAACTAGCATGATCCATGTATGTCAATCTTTCAGGGCTGTTGGCACTTCCCACGCATTTGAATATCAAAACTATTCTTGATCAAAATGGAATTAAATTTGTTTTTTCATTGTTATTGTTTTTAAGCGCACATTTATAACTGAATAAATCTCGTGAACTTGCTGCAGTAAATAAGCCTGTAACATCGATGGATAGTATAGTTTAGTCGGACTTTCGTATTTTCAAAAAACGATGTATAAAACCTCACATTAGCCGCACGACTCCATCAAACATTTCAGTCTTATCAAAAGTTTCCCAAATGGATTCGATGTTAAAGCCATTGGTAGTACAAGAAATTTTGTTCATTATAATTCCTGACCAATATAAAGCAAAGGGACAAGTCTCTTAACCTTTTTCATATGCTCCAGCATAAATGTTTACGATTATTCCAAGCGCTTTATAACATGATTGGCAAACTGCTTTTAGACCTCCAACAACAGAAACGAGTCACTTTAGATGAGAAGCATCCAAACTTCGATTGAGCTAGTTGAATTCACAGTTCTTGTGTCTTCGTCATAACGACTTACTACAGGCAGATTAGACCACCGCCACCAAATTAGCATATTACCGGTTAGATATGTAAGTTTTTAACCACAAATTCTTATCTAATTTACTGAACATCGGTTATTTCGAAGAATCATTATTCAGCTATACTCCTAGCACCAATCTTATTGATGAGCAACATAGACACTTTACTTTCTTAATTTGAATAAATTTCACCGAACGAAGTTTTCATTTTCATCTCACCTAAGTAAACAAATGTCCTTAGTAGATATCGAGTAAAAGTTATACAGAGATTACTATAATCTACAGCTGCATTTTCAGTATGATCTGGTGATAAGTGAATAAGTCAAAGTATATGAAAACGCACTTCAACTTGCAGTCCAGTGGTGGAAAACCAAGTACTTATGTTATTATTGAGCTTTTAGGTATCACTACCAAGTTTGGACTTAATAGGTTTAAATAGATTGAAAGTTGGGTGGAAATCTAGTAATGATTATATTTTTTGTGATATCCCAATGAGTGGAAATTTGCATTTTTGACGTTTCGTGACCTAATGTAAGTCGCTTCTTCAGAGTGAGTAAATTAAAGTTGTTAACCGACTAAATAACAATCCTTTATATTTTCAAAAGCTCATGAACCTCAATATTATTTTTATTGTTTTCCTACCTGTGAAAATCAATTTCATTGAGGCTTTAGTATTCATATAAAAGGCCTTAAGTATCTTTAGGACTGTTGTTAGAGATTCCAAGAGAAGTACTTTCTATGTCCTTGACTATATCTAAAATCTGCCTAAATGTTTGATTTTTCCCTTTATTGGACTCCATTGGAGGGCTGAACAGAGTTCCCTTGTTCTTGTAAACTACGGGTTAGTTGCTGTCTTTTTGGATAACTGCGATACTAATTCTTTCATAGCAAGTAAGTAGGAGTTGAATCTTTTTCTTTACCTCGCTCTAATGAACAAATTATTTATTTATTCTTTCTTAATTTTATTCTCAAAAAAGCTTTACAATACACGATACATGGTTCAAAATATTTCGGTTCTGTAATTTGTTTTTTAATTTAAGGCAACATTTTTGACCGATACAGATCAGCAATCAGCACGTAATGCTTCTTCTGTATACACACCAGCCATGGTTTACCCTTGCAGTAATACAAAGTCGGAATCGCTTCCTAACAACACGGAGTATTCATCTGTGGAAAATGTCCCAGCCAAGTGTGTACCAGTGATTCCCCCTATCATTTCTGATAATAATAACACAGTCTCCAAAAAATCGAAGTGGATTTGTACTCATTGTTCTTTGAGTTTTACACGTCCAAGTCACTTGGTAGATCATTTGCGTATTCACACCGGTGAAAGACCTTACAAGTGTATTTTATGTGGACGTCAATTCACTCAAGCTTCTAACCTTCGCCGACATCTCTCAAGTCACAGAGCCTGGCCACCAGTGTCATTTGTAACTGCTGCTGCATCTAATGGGCACCAAAATTCTGAAATAGTTCCAAAAAACACTGAAGTAAGTGTATTTTTGTAAGATTACGCTGCATTTTGTTTTTCTGAATAAGATCTTCAGTGGTATCTATGTAACCAGACTTTCGAATTTCTCAAGTTATTTGTCTTACTTCTCGTTCTAGCCTCTTTTCTAGTTTTATCTATGCGTAGTTTTACTATTTCACTGTTACTCAGATAATCAGAATCCTCATTACTTCGTCTCATTTGTTTTTTCCACCAGTGAATTTAAATTCTCTTGTTCAAAGTTGCTGGATTATTTCTTACCAATTGGTAACTGAGTAAGTAGCATAAGCAAACTGAAGTGAGAGCAAAACAAAATAGACTTTTTGTGTGTAGTTTCTTTATAAAGATTATAAACAACCATGGTATCTTCATAAATCTCTTGGCTATCTTCATTGTTTCGTGAGATGTTTTGCTAATATATTCTCACCACATCATTGTGAATGTGAATAGCTCCTCTCATGACCCATTCACTAACGTCTGATTCAACGTGATTTGATATTTTTTTAAGATAACGGTAGACATCAGATATCTTATTCCGTCGGATTTATGATAATTTCCTACATGTTACGCTAGTTTTGTTCAGGCATGTACTTATTACAGTGGATGTATTAACATTAAAGCAATTGAATATGTGTTAACATGTACAGGTCTCTAAATGCATTTTGCGACGACCGCAGATACAGTTTATCCGTTACAGACATTAAATTTACGTGTATGATTTAAGGGTTTAATATGAACTAATCTTTACTAATGGGTTTTGGTTTTCTATCTACTATAGGTGGTGACTAACTCTACTTCATGTCGCCATGTTTCTCCTAAAATTTGGATCTGTCGGTTTTGTGACCAACGATTTGAAACATACATACAACTTCGGGCTCATATTGTACATCATAAAGACAAGCAGGTAATTTTAGTTTAGACGACCGTATATATAGGTATTCTTGTCGAGATTGTTAGTTTGAAATTGTTTGTTGTTAATATTTTCTCAAATTTACCCTCAACACTGAATCTTTTCTTGATTGGAAAATGTCATTTTTAGTTCACGTTTTTCCCTCGTTCCCGCTTCCGTTAGTAATATGACAACACTGGCACATAAATTTCTTGATAATGTATTATCTTAAATTTGATTGTTCTGGATTAATAAGACTCTAGACGAGTTGTGTGTTAGGTTCGATTGTGGTGTAATAGTCTAAGAAATATAGCGTCAACTTTAGGTTCATACTTTGAAAGGCGAATTGATATCCTCGGATCTGGACTCCATATTATCATTGTTCTACCTTACATATTGAGTACCTGATCCTCTTATTCATAGATAAGTTTCAGAAATTTTTGTTTGACTCATTATATGATAGAGTTATAATAAAATTTATGTACTCAAGATTTATATTTGTGTTACGTAATTGGCGTATTCAACCGCTTTGGGATTTCCAAATGATTTTTATTTTTCAGGTTTATGCATGTGTATTTTCTGATTGTAACTCCTCTTTTTCATCACCAAACAGTTTATTAAATCATTTGTTAGAAAAACATCGAGTTAACAGGAGTGACAAACTTGCATGTCAGACTTGCGACCAAAACTTTCACGGTAATTTCGATTTTATTCTTATGATGAATTTTATTATATTCGTTCTTATTCTTTTTTTTCGTTCGTTATGTATCATTCCTGTAGTTAGTGGCTTGCGCTCCAAAGTTTCCGGGGTTCTCCTGTTAGTATGTCAGTTACCGATACTTTCGTATTGGTAGTGTAGTACTTGACCCATTAACTCGATATTACACTATTCATAGCAATAAGGTTACTGTGATAGAGGTTAAGTGTTGCACGGGGTTACAGCATACCTTTTTCTGAGGAAATCGTAAAAGGGTTTTGGTGTTATGCATCATTTTTGAGAACGTTGTTTGTTAATTAAAGAAATATTGAATGTTATATAATGCGGAGGCAACTTCGTAGTTAAAGCACGAAGCTTTCACTCAGTAGATCACAGATTCAAACTCTGGTTTATTTGTCTCACTTCAGATGTCCGGGTAGCATCACTGGCTCTCGTAGACAGTGTGGATCAAAGCTGAGTAATATAAAACTGTACATGATAAACGAGTCACGTTATGGTATGATATTCTGTACAATACCAAAGGACTTCATACTCTTGTTTCGAATATCCGTGCGCTAAGCAAATATCCATGAATATTTTGATAAACACTTGTGTTAACGTTTTTGAATGTTCTGACGTAAACTTAGGTTATGACTATTTAAATTGTAGATTTCTCTTAAATCAGATTACTAATCAATAACTGTTTATTCAACAAACTAGTAGTCTGATAGTTAGCAGTATTGTACCTCCATTCTTGTGTAACTTTGTCGTTGACGTGGTTTTAGAGATAACACTCTCCTCATCTAAATTTCCAGGGGTTGAACTTCTACCGGGAGATTCACTTTTTGAACTAGAATATGCCGATGACATTGTTCTATTTGGTGAAGACGCTGACAAAATGCAGTCTTCTGACGTATGCCCGACCACCGACTACCCCGGCGTGCGATGTTTTGTGGTGTGGGAGTAAGTTGGAAGAAAGCTAGGGACGTCCAAACCAAAACATGGTACAAATCCATGAAGTCACTGACAAGTGGACTGAGCCATGTTGGTATGTATAGACTACCTGGTTGGGGACCGCGAGATGATGGCGACCGATGGTTAGAGACCCTGGATGACATGGCTCAAAATTGTTTGCAATGGTGCAAGTGCATCCACTCTTTGTGTTCTCCCAAATTCTAATCTTCTGAATTCTTCATGTCCCTTGTTTTCTTTCTAAATTTATTTCACTGGATTATACTCATTGAATAAAATCTTCAAATGCTAATCTTTCCAATTGCTGCTTATACTCTTACTACCTTTACCACAATGGGATTTGAATCGACAATTGTATCTGTGTGCTAATGTGGTATGGCGACTCGAACTTATGTACGGACGTACGTAGTTCTACGTTGTTACGGACTGACCATAGAGTTAGAAATATTTTGTTGTTTCAATCTAGAGTTATTTTAATGCACAGCGTTTTTAATTTACAAAAATTTCATGCTATAGTAGAAATTCAAACTGAGAGTTTGTATTAAATGTAAACATCACTGTTCAACATCATTGAAAAACTGTTGTAAAATGTGTTGTTTTATCCTGCCACGTTTCAATCTGTACTGTTAAATGGTTTTTATTGTGAAAAGACACCACACTATGAATCGGCTATTAAATAGATTCAGAAGACATGAAGATAGTATATACTGTCAGTCACTAACAGTATGTATATTGATATACTGACTGATTGCTAGAGCTTCTAAACATACAGCAATATAACTTCCAACTAAACCCTCTCATGTAAGTAATTTAAACCCATTATGTAATTATGATTTTAAATATCACAGGTTGTAAGCAGCTGATGAGAACCAACAAAATAAAACAAATTCATGCTATTCTGCTAGAATGTTTGTTCTCGCTCTTTTCAAAATGATAAAGGGAACTATGTGTATGACACAGCAATGTTAGAAAATCTTAGTGGTTTGATTGCCCGGTTCTTAAATTACCAAACCAATAGTTTTTAAATATTCTTTAATAAAAACTTCAAAAACGTCATCAATAAACAAGATAACTTTCTCTTTTTTTTATTAAAAAAAACGAAGATTTCTTGCATCTTGTTAGACACTTGTTGCCTCGACGTAATGGATCTAACTCCGGTTGTCCTATGCTGTATATTAGATCAAGAAAAAAGGAAAGTAAATTGGTGAAGAGAAATCGTAAATTTATTTCACACCATAGGTCTACTAATGCACAGGATGTAGAACGAAGTTCAAAGTCGTCAGCTGAATACTCCAGTACTGCTAATTATTTGGATCCGACATTCCGTATACTTCCTTTACAAAGTTTCAAAAAAGATGATTCATTATTTGGTTTCAAGTAAGAATATATTGTACAACTGATTTTATAGTTTCGAAATTTTTTTCACTAATTCAGAATGAGTATGGAATGGAAATTTAGCTACATCCGTGCGCATCTATATTGGCGCTCTCTTGTACCAATATTTATGTGTTCAAATAAATAATAAATAACATCTGTGCGCGCCTGATTCAAGAGTGTTCCGTAACCGTAATGCTTTACTGATATGACCCTTTAAATTGTTTCTGGTTGTTTTTCATGATATATCCAATATTTAGAGTTATTTGGTATCATGTATGCAATTTCTTTGTGTTAAAAAGCTCGGTTTTCCATGTTTACACAACTGGGACGTTAATTTACCTTAGACGAATATCTACACTAGATTCCCTCCCAGTGTCTATTCTACAGGACTTCAACACAACTCAGATCAAGAACGTAAATATATTTCCACATCAAAAACCGACAACAATCCGACAAAATACAACAATCGACAATCAGTCAACAATAATAATAAGGATAGGAGAATATGTAACTCATCTAACGCCTGTCAGACTATCTACAATTTTGATTAAGCAAACAACCAATCATTATCATTCTCGCCCACACACCAGTTTGCTTTAAATCAGAAAAATTGATCCTATACTGGTTTGAAATTATAATCATCCCTCCAATCCATTTGTTAAAGCTTATTAAGAATGCTGATTGAACATTGAATGTATTATTGATTAGAATTCTGTCACAAGTGTAGGAATTATGTCACTCTCCCCTAGAATTCTGAATCTATCAATGACGACCACTGGTCTCAATCCACGGCGACAAATGTCTTCGTAAGTGGTTGAAGACATTTGGCACGGAACTCTGGATCTAACTGCCCATAGTCTTTACATCACGGTAATTGATTCTCTTCTAGATATTTGAAACTGTTTTGTCTACTGATGTCGAAAACTTCACTGAGCTTTTCAGAGTGCAGTACTGAGTCACTTAATATGAAGATAACATTGGACATCTTTAAAATTTTATGATCACTAAGAGCTAGGTTTGATGAAAAAACTACTATTCAGTAATCGAATAGCGTTTCTTATCATTGGCAAGTAAGTTTACCAATTTCCATTGGCAAGTGTTAACTGGCAACCTGAGATTCTTAAGATATGTAATTTTCACTTATAGCCTGAAAGTTTAGAGTTCTTGTGTATTCCAAGTTCTTTTGACGCTCAATAGTAGTACTCCGACTGAAATGGTTCTCATAATATTTACTTCACTTTTTCATGTAAATGAAGATTAACATAAAATTGATGTAGTGAAGCATTTCATATGTTTCCTAACAATTATGATATCATTATTTTTCCCGGTTATTACAGGTGCCCGTTTTGTGTGAAAATTTGCAAAAGTCTTAAACATATCCATACACACTTGTCTGAAAGACATTCAAGCCAAATGAATCTTTCAGTATTCAAATCTGCCTTGTCCAACAAGACTACGAATGATGACACTAATAATACTGTTTCCCTGCCGCGTAATGCAGATTCGTCTTTCAGTGGTGGTGAATCTTCTAAAACAGCCTTATTTCTTCTTCAACTAGAAGAGTGTATGCTATCTCAAGGAAATCACCTAGAACCTAACAAGAATGCTTCACCTAAAATATTTGTATGCAGATTTTGTGGCAAAAGCTTTCAAAAACAGAAGTTTTTCAGTGACCACGAGTTGATGTGTCAACAGGTTAGTATATATTTTAGAGTTTGTACTTAACTATTTCGCACTTTTACTTTTGAAGTCCTACTGTTGTACAACATGATATTCTAGATACTATAGACTCGGTTTAATGACCATTCACGGTTAGAGATTATTCACTAAGCTTTGATGATTGGTTAGTTCACATAATATCTTTCGGAATCTATGTTGATCTAAATTGTCCAACTCATCAACATAGAAGACGAAATCTTACAAAACGAAAGCGAACGCTTGGAAGTAATTGTTTTTGACGGTAAGTCCCAAGTAGTTCAACAGGGATTTATGAAGTCTTGATAAATATAGTATTACGTAGATTCTGAAAACAATTTCAAAATGCTTGTCAGTATACAAACAGGATATGGTTAATACAAAAGGAATGCAACATTAAAAGTTAGGGTAGATTATTTGAAATGATGTGATCTATAATTTTTCTTCATTGAATATTTTTTTACAAAAATTTTAATAATGTGAACCATATGATGTAAATGAAATGCATCATCATAGGTTATAAGATTTCGGAGAACAGCACTTATAGGAGTCATACTTTGTAAAAGTCATCAGTTTTGTAAGGAAGATTTGTCTTTAATAAGCATTGTAAGAAGAACGCAAAGAAGTGGCATAGATAAGACATCATGAGCTTTTTGAAATGATAGATGTCATTAAGGATACATCGGTTAGGAATAAGTATTTTCCTAGAAGAAGGACTGGAGCGTCACGTTTGCGAGTGAATATTATAGTGAAGAGCTATTCCAGTTCCTTTAGAGGATACTTAGTAACATCTACAATAAGAGAGCATAGAAGAGCACCGGAATTTACTGTCATATGTCTATCGTTATGTATCTACTTGATTGTTCCGTAACATACTGATTATAATTGATTTCATTTAAACTAATCAACTGTTCTTTACATATTCTTACAATAACGAAATGACCCAATTAGGACAAGGTTTGGGACTTACTAAGAATAGCGTAAAGGATTCACAACATAAGACTGTAATATCATCAACAGATAAGATATCAACACCTAACGAAGTTTAATAATTATACGTCATAGTAAGATTGTTCACACATTTAAAGTCCCTATAATTTCACTAGTGGAGTGAGATATAATTGTTGATGTAATCCTTTTTTAAGACGATATCAGAAGACCAAAAATTATCAATGTATCGTACAAGCGATAACAGAATGTTTTTCTGACATAGTCATGCTCTATGCTAATATATTCACAACCATAATACCAACACAGTGAAGGAAACTTCTTTCTTTTTCTTCCCTCTCTCGCTATCTAGACAGGGGTTCGGTGTTGTTATGGAAGTTTTGTTTATGATGACCCCAGTAGAATAAAAAAATGCATTGGAGTTAATCGGTTATTTAACAGTTACTAGGATTAGGATTCATAAACTGTATGATTGTCGCTAAGCACAATGATAATAAAAATATATTTAATGTGCATATAGTAATGCAACGAATTTGTGTTGAAAATTGACCTTACATCCACCTGAAATTCACTTTGAACTGATCTTGATCTCCTTCCTCATAGATTATACTTAGGGATTACACATCCTCAACAATTTCAAAGATAGATTATGGTAAATTGTAAAGTAATTTATATAGAGATTAGATTTTGAATGAGATATTTTCACTTTTGACAGATATAACTGTAATTCTTCTTGTATTAGTGGATGCAAAAGATGATTTATTTAATATATTAAAGTAAAAATTAGATTCAGTCTCAGTCTCCACTTTCGTAAAGGATCAGTGAATCTGGGCTTGTAGTTTAAAGTGCATACATTCGTGAAAATATGGAGCATAAAGCTCCGCTAAACAGATTCCTAGCTCAGTTCGTCTTTAATGCCATAACTAATAAGAATAAAAATATGGTATTCTAGTAGTGTTCAAACACATGATTGTACTATCGAATACGTGATTCGTTGTTATTAAAGCTACATGTCATACAACCAAGAAGTCTTCATAAGTAAGACGTCCACATTTTAACTTAATTTGAGAGGAACAAATTGTAAGAACATCTTAGTCCTAAGTTTACCATTGAAGTTGAGAAGAGTTTCACTAAACAAATCCATCCACATTTATCAATTCTATGTTCCAGATTTCATTTTGAGCACTGTAAGGTAACATTACTTAGCTCCGTACAGATACAGTTTTGTATATGGGTAACCTCATGAGGGGAAAATGAATACACTACTTTAAGATCATCTACTTGCAGTAAAGTTTTACCCATTCTGAAGCATTTTCTGATATTATTTATATAAAATATAGAGAGTAGACGACATAGGATATCACCTTGTATTACACCACTCGTGATTGGAAGTGCATCCGACTAGTTTTTCCAGTCCTTGTGTATCAGTGAATAAAAAACACTAAGCTACTCAAACGGGGATCTCTGATCTTATATAATGTGGGTTTGCCCACAAGACTCTGGCGGTTAACCATGTCGAAGGCTTTAGAAATATCAAAGTACGGTACTTAAACAAGGTACAACTAGGTACATTCGGTAGACTAAATTAAAGAAGTCAAAGGAAACAACTCATGTAAGGTCTACTTTTAAGGTAGTCATGCTGTGAATTAGTAGAAAGTTTTTTAGCATATAAACAGCCCGACTTTTTGTCACCCAATAATTTTTATTTTTATGAAGATAACTGAAGTAATATTTGTAGATGTACAGTTGTCTACGTTGGCTTTTCCCCAGGTTTAAAAAGTTGTATCACATATGTGGTATTCCAGCGGTAATGATAGATAACTGTTTCCAAAGTAATTGTAAGCAGCTTTAATAGGAGTATTGAAATATCAAGTCTGCTCTATTTGATGTAGATTTATTTTATCATGCCCCGAGGCAGCGTGGAATGATATCGGGAAAGCTGTGGAAACAGCAGTGATATCTGCTAGTAAGGTAAACCATAAGGTTAGGGAGAAACACTGGATCTCAGCAGCATCTACTGCACTGATAGATGCTCGAAAACTCATTCCATCTGGATCTGAACATAACGAAGAGCGGAGTCAGATTAGGCGCAAGCTAACAAGAAGCCTACACAGTGATCGTGGACAGTGGTGGGTAGCGAAAGCAAGAGAGACGGAAAAGGCAGCGGTAATAGCTAATAGCAGACATTTGTTCAGACTTGTTAAGGAAACCGGTATTAGGAACCCGACTGTTAGCGAATCAATCTCAGAGAAAGATGGACATATTATACATTCTCAATACAGGATATTGGATCGATGGGCAGAACACTTTAGGGATCAGTTCAACTGGCCTTCAGCCACACTTCGGTTTCCCACGGTCTCCAGTCAACTTGGATGGTAAGTTGATGTAAGTCCTCCGACTCCTTACGAAGTTGAAAAAGCTATAGGAAATATGAAGCGAGGGAGAGCAGTATGCCCTGACAGGTTTACCCCTGAGGTTTTTAAGGATGGTGGTCCGGTATTAGCAGTGAGATTGACTGGGATATTGGGTAGAATCTGGGAACTGGACGTGATCCCATCTGACTAGTCTCAATCACTGATTGTGCCAGTCTATAAGAAAGGACAAAAGTCCTCTTGTGACAATCACGGAGGAATCAGTTTGACTAATATAGTGTCTAAAATATTAGCTTCAATAATACTTCGACGCCTAACCAAAGCTCGTGAAGAACAGACTAGAGAAAATCAGGCTGGTTTTCGACCTGGACGTGGTTGTATAGACCAGATATTCACACTACGTCAGGTTCTAGAACACAGGCACACATTCAGGCGCCCCACAATCGTATTATTTCTCGACCTTAAGACGGCATTCGACTCTGGTGATCGTGAGGTTCTATGGCAGTGTTTGTCACTGAAAGGAGTACCAAAGAAGTACATTAACCTTGTAAAGGCTCTCTACTCGAACACAACTAGTCGAGTGAGAGCTTATGGCGAACTGTCATCAGAATTGATTACCTCAAGTGGTGTTCGTCAGGGCTGTCCACTCTCCATTCTTGTTTAACTTTGTCGTTGACGTGCTTTTAGAGATAACACTCTTCTCATCTAAATTTCCAGGGGTTGAACTTCTACCGGGAGATTCACTTTTTGACCTAGAATATGCCGATGACATTGTTCTATTTGGTGAAGACGCTGACAAAAATGCAGTCTTCTGGCCACTCTAAACAACAATGCAAGCATGTTCGGGATGCGATTCTCCCCCTCGAAATACAAAATGTTGCTTCAGGATTGGGTTGCATCGACACCCGAACTAATGATAGGGAGTGAAGTAGTTGAGCGTGTCAACCACTTCACTTATCTTGGGAGTCTCATCAGCCTTTGTGGTCTAGTGTGTGACGAAATCTCAGCACGGATACAGAAGGCTCGACTAGCTTTTGCCAACTTGCGTCATTTATGGCGTTAGCGAGATATCCGTCTATCAACCAAAGGACGTGTTTACTGCGCAGCAGTTCGTTCCGTCCTACTTTATGGCAGTGAAACGTGGCCGGTAAGAGAAGAGGATATTCGTAGGTCACTAGTATTCGATCGTAGATGTCGTCGAAACATTGCTCGTATATCCTAGGGCCATCGAGTAAGTAACACAGTTGTTAGGAAACGAGTACTAGGTAAGGATGGCAAATCGATTGATGAAGTGGTGAAACTTCATCAGTTGAGATGGCTGGGACGTGTTACGTATGCCCAACCACCGACTGCCTTGACGTGCGATGTTTCATCGTGTAGGAGCAGGTTGGAAAAAAGCTAGGGGTGGCCAGACCAAAACATGGTACAAATCCATGAAGTCACTGACAAGTGGACTGAGCCATGTTGGTATGTATAGACTACCTGGTTGGGGACCGCGAGATGATGGCGACCGATGGTTAGAGACCCTGGATGACATGGCTCAAAATTGTTTGCAATGGTGCAAGTGCATCCACTCTTTGTGTTCTCCCAAATTCTAATCTTCTGAATTCTTCATGTCCCTTGTTTTCTTTCTAAATTTATTTCACTGGATTATACTCATTGAATAAAATCTTCAAATGCTAATCTTTCCAATTACAGCCTATACTCTTACTACCTTTACCACAATGGGATTTGAATCGACAATTGTATCTGTGTGCTAATGTGGTATGACGACTCGAACTGATGTACGAACGTATGTAGTTCTACGTTCTTACTGACTGGCTGACTATTGTATCATGATTACCCCATGACTTCTTTAAACGTTAAGGGGGTTTATGGCTCTAGTAATTTGACGATAAGTGACAAAAGTTAGTTGTTTGTAGTTATTAGTCATGTGTATGACTTCTGATCCAACCTTTGGTTTTGATTACAGTATTATTACTGAAGTGGTTAGAAATAGTTTTGTGTCATTTCTAATTGAACTGTTGTTGAAGATGCTGGGAAAGTCTACATTTTGTGATGACCTAACGCGTTTATTAATTAGAACTACTAATTTCTATAATTTAGAACTTCTACTTAGTGCTGATGACTCTTCATAAATAGCTTTTTAACCAGAAGTGTTCTTAATTTGGTTAAAAATTATAGTTATTTATGCCATTGTGGAGGAATCACCTGACTTGATGTTTCTGCAACCATCGTAATTTGTTACTAAACTTAAGCTATATGAATAGACCATTAGGGTTTATTAGCATGAATTGTTGATTTGGTAAAATATACCTAAGGCACCTACCAGATTATGGCTCCGGAAGAGGTCATTCCAATCTAGACACAACAGCATTTGAAGGAGGTTCCAGTGTCCAGTTCTCTAATCCCCTTTATTGACCAGATTTTCACAGGGAGAGGTTATTCGAAAGGTTGGTAGTAATGTGAAGAGAACGGAAATATATTTGGTCATTACTTTTACATATTTTTTAAATTTCTTTAGGTAGGGGATACTGGAGCCCATGTGCACCATTGGTTGAAACTACATGGGACAAACTGGTGACCCTAAGTTTTCTTAGGTTAGGGTTATGTAAGTCTTTACATGTGAAGACCATATATGGTTTATTCAGTTGGCTTAAGGAGTATAATTCTGAAAGATTGTCTACTACCTGTGGTTTATTATGGCCTAGGATATTGCTAAGTCGATCAACTTTTGTTGATGGGGTCTTGTTAACCCAATGATTCGAGGGAGCATATACAATTTGGGAATGGCCACCTTTGGTTGTTGAAACCTTAAAAACTTTCAAGAGTATGCTTTGAATCCAAAGGGTTATCGTGGGCAGCATTTTAATTTCTAGAATTCTTAAGAGGCCTCCAAACGGCTGTATGACAAAAACACGACGTCTGCGTCTCCGCCTCTGCATCTCCACGGAGAAACGTAATATATATATATATATATATATTCATTTACATCATTGTTCCTTATCCGATCACACTAATGGCTAAGTATTCAGTGAAACAGTTATCTTTACAACCTTCGAGTAGTAACTACTGCCATTTATATGGCTGCCGACGCTACCACTTATATCTTTGGCATGACCGTATGAACCACATACTCTCCTAAGACTGTCTCATGACAGTTGAGAAATCGAAGTGTGGGTGCGCTGTTATATGTAGGAGAATTATTTATCTAATTGAGGTTCCAGTCCATATGTGCCTGGCTTGTTTATTTCAGTAACATATACGTACGAATTAGTTTTTTGTGTTGTTATTCGTCTTTAGGAATAGCTCCCCCCACAGTATTGGCACTGTCACTCTGGCTAGTTATACTATTGAAGTGTTAAACAACGCAAAATAGTAACTGAGTTGGACTACAAGATACAATAATTACTCAACATTATTACACGTTTCATTTAACATTGACTAACTGAATAAAATACAGAATAAGCTTTTGAATTATGTCTGGTTGGTTAAGGCTCATCACAGAAGCGCTCCTGTAGTTTTGGAGGAAACTGATCGCTCTGCTTAAAATTTCTGAAACAATAGCACTTGCCGCTAGGTTAGAAGTATATATTACCGATGAGTGACAGGGAACATGACACCTAGTTCTGAGGAATCCTGATGATACAATACCAACCTTGACGATTTTTAATTTATCTATTGTAGACTTTTTCTTGACTTATTTTTTTCATTTGTTTACACCTTTACCGGTTAATTTGTATTCCTCTCAAGTCAATTCAAGAACGAGCACGTCGAATTCGTCTTAGAGCCAATAAACGACAGAAGTTTTTCGTTTCACAGAAAACTAATACTGAATTGGATATGAATTTATGCACTGATATTACTCCTCCAAATCAAGATTTCGTCCTTTGTAATTCAGAGGATTCAGTTTCAGCGCTTAGAAGATCCACACGTAATAGAACATTTCATACATTTTGGAAACCTAAACCAACTCGTCGAAAGCGTAATTTTGAATCCGTCTGCTGATTAAATATAAACAGGCTCAGTTCTAAAATAAATTTTCAGGTATTAAATTATAAAATATATTCATACTCTTTACCTCTCTGCACAGACAACATTTATTTATTGATTTTGTTAGGATATGGATATTTGATAATCTAGCGCTTTATGTACACAATACTTACTCCATTGAATCTGGTTTGTATAGATTCTACTATTTTAATTTGTTTATTACAGTTTCTCACAGCTTTTCTTTAGGAAATATTCAAGAAGCAACGAGTGAACTAAAATTCCCACCTTATTTTTACAAGCCCTTGTATTAGGAATTTAGGATTTTTGATAATCGTATATCATATGGTTGGTAACTAAACCATTCAACTTTCGGTTGACAAGTCCTGTTTTGGAACCTCGACCTACTTATTTTGGTTTGGGTGCTAAACAAGAGGATTAGCTTCCTTACAAGGTATGACTTAAAGCTATGTAAATAAATTTATTTCTGGTAGATGTATAGTATTTGATTGTCACTACGGAAAGAGAGAACTGATGAAATTGTCTGGATATATTGATTTTTGGGGTACATAGAAGAAATAGCTAACGATTGTTTAAGATTATACCATAAAACTGATTTCGTAAAGAGTCAGAGAAGGATGGGTGAGTATAATAAAAAGAAGAGAAACAATAAACAGAAATTAGTGTATGGGAATGGAATAACAATAATTGGAGGAACTGTTCAGTTAGAGAAAATACAACCAGAAAGCATTCTTTCAGTTAAAGAAGTTATGCCCATATTTTATGAAGAAAGTTAAAGAAAGTTACAGCAAGATCGCTGCTGGCTTCTATTTTGAGCCACGTCTGATAACGCAGATACACAGATACATGAACTTCTCGACTACTTCTATCTGCTCACTACCCAGAGTAAGTGCAGCTTCAGGGTCCTGCCAGTCTTGTAGAAGTACTTTGCAATTCGAAGGTTCAAGGCACATACCGTACTTATGGACCCTGATTACCAACTCATTAAGTGCGGATTGCATGGTTTGGGTATCACCGCACAGTAAGACAATATCATTCGCGTACTCAAGTCAGTTTTTAACCAGAAGGTCGTCAACGACTTTAAAAAGGACTCGAGGTAAGTTATCTGAGTCTGGTGATTCGTAGCGCTTCAGGAATTGGAGTTCCTTGCAGATTTTTACCTCGTTAGGTGGATCGGTCGTCACCGGCCATGGAAGGCAGGACAGTCTGATCGATGCTACCGGTTCAGCAGACCAGTTGACCTGCTCCTCGAAAAACTCTGCCCCTCGTCTGAGACGTCAGTAAATGTTATTGACTGGCATCCCGTCATCTTCACAGATTGTTTCACTCACACCAGACTTCGTGCTGCCAGTGACTCGCATGAGTTGAAAGAGCTTCCGGCAGTTATTAGATGCAGCTGCTGCTCCCGACTCATTGGCACGTTCCGACCACCAGGCTTCTCGGTTCTTACATAAGTTTTGCTCAATTCCATTACGTGACAGTCTTCGCTTGTGTCACATCGGCGATGAATGTACTGATAGTTAATGCCAACCAGAAGCATATTGTAGTCTGCGCAAAGTTGTAGTAGATGGTCACCGTTATCTGACCTGCGACCAACAAATCTCCATCGGTCATCTAAACGACTTTTCTATGTGTCTAGAAGCCCGACATATCATTTCAAGTTTCCGGCTAGTACTACAATATCCGTCGAACGTACGTTTTTAAAGGAACATTTAGCCGTTGGTAGTTTAATGCCAGAGGTTACTCTTGGTTTTCCGTTAGGAGTACGCCAAATTGATAAGCGTGGAATAGAACAGTTGGAGTGCGAGGTTGTCCTTTCAAATATACAAAGCTTTCAACATGCAATGTAGGACAATAGGAAATATAATGCTTATGCAAAACGTGAAAGTAAACAAATACCTCAGCCTTAAAGTCTTGACATTATTAAGATGTTTTCGGCCAATTGTTAACCACCCAACTTAAGTTGTTATATTAGCTTCCTCCCAGAACCGACCTCTGTAAGAATGACTGTTCGATCAACTTATTTGACAAAAGCATGTTAGTTATTTCCACGAATTACCGTGCCTTTACTATTTTACATTCCCTTTATGTTAAAACTAGAGCTAGTCAGAGAATAGGAGGTAAGAAATTGAAACAAGAAAACTTGAAGAAGTGCCACGAGCGGTCTACCCAACACTATGTCAGTGAAGTACAATATCTGTCGAACGTACTTTCTGTAGGAAAACAGTCAACTGGTAGCAAAACTCATCCTTGATCGCATCCGGGCTGCAATCTGTCGGAGCGTAGGTGGATATGACGAAAGGATATCGTTTTTCACGCTGATTTTTTCGCACTTCTATGGAGCTTTCCAATCTAACAGCACAATTGACTAGTTCTACGTCAGTTCTACTGCTTAGTGCGACACCAACACTGGCAAGACCGAACGAAGTTTCCACAAGGTCCCTGAATAATCGTGTGTGAAACCAGCTTTTCGAAGCAACAGATTGAGTGCGAATTCGTAGTACTTCACTAGAGTATTGGTTACGGTTGACGAATAGATAACAGACATCTATGTCTAGACTTTCTTAAGACATAGCTAACCCGATCTGTTGTCTGTTCCGCATTAGTGTGCGAACGTTGAAGGAGTCCAGTTTGAATGGTATACGTGGTTTCAGAAAGACGGTTTCAGAATTCGTATTTGGCAATATCATTCACCATAGGTGGGCTGCTGTTTAAGTAGGGAAATAAACGAATGTACTAATTGAGAAGAAAAGAGAGTGGTTAAGATATGTTGAGTAAAAGTAATAAAAACGTATGATATCAAATAATTGTGAATATTATTCGTCTCAATGAGAGTTAAAACAAGAATTATTTTTCCAGTAGTATTTATACATTGATTTGTGTGTGGTCTGGAATACTGCCTAGTTGCCTAAACTGAATCAGGTTGTTTTCCAAAGAGAGCTACATTCTGAGCTTTTGACCTAAAGGTCTAATCCACAAGTCAGTAGAGCAACGTTAGGAGATGAAGTTAAATGGTAGAGGGTGACAATACTTCATTTGTTACCTCAGGATTCTAAAGTGAACGTACACCATTGATTCGGAGTCAGGGCTTTCCAACTCTACTAGGTGGTACCTCCGTACTCACCGAGCTCTTTAAAGCATTATATATTCACTTTACGTCCTTTCAATTTCATAAACAACACCCCCACCGTGAGAAGGCAGTGAGTAGAATTTCTCTGACAGTGTTTGTATACGCGTGGCCATGTAAGAGCATTTTGAGAGGGAGAACGCTCTCTCCTCACCTTTGGCCGTACCCAGGGCATTTGGGTGCGGATTCTGCTACTATTGCATTGTTTTGTTGTTCAGTTACACTCCACAAATAAGGAAGGTTGAATATTCACTATTTAATGAGTTCAGTTCTAATTAACTCTATTCCACGAATCAGTTCAAACAATAAATATATATTTCACCTAATCAAGGAGGTGCATTAAACACGCACTTATACAGCTGAATTTGCATTCTAAGTAAGTAAACGTGATTGTAACTGGTCATTAACTGAAGATTTAACGATTGTGTAACTCTTCGTATCTTGGTATGTTACTGTTAAGCAAATAAGGCAAACCTGATTATGTAAAATAAGATTCCATGTATCCTAAAATAACTTGTGTTTCTTAGAATAATAAGGATGATGTAGTTTCGGATATTAATTTCCAATCTTCTGGGAAATTGGAAATGACTTAGGAGGAAATACCATGCAATGATATGATAATCATAATCACAACATAGGTCGTCGATTTCCCTCTTTTTAGTTAAATGTTCGTTAACATTAAATGATGTCAGTGAATCCTGTTTACCTGAATCAGTGATGTTTTGTTAGGTCCCGATAAACATAATGAATGGTAACTTTGGGATCCTTTTATGGACCAATACTAAACTTATATTTTTATCGTATAATTTTTAAGTAACTAAACTATTCATATTCTTCTTATTATAAACTTTATTTTGACCCATAAACTATTATTATACGTTTTACCATTCTTGACTTATGCCCTGTCTATTAGTCACTGCCTCCCGCATTCACAGCCACATTTGGCCATATTTTATACAAATGTTATTTTTTATTTTATGCTACGTTGTGGTCTGTTTGGTTGGTATATAAACTCAGTATGTTTGAAATATAATGATTCATAAAGAGAGTAAGAACAAAGATTGGTGCAGAATAATATGAATTCATTTTATTTCGTTAGGTTCTCATCAGCTGCTTACAACCTAAATTATTTGAAAATTCAAATTATTACAGATATTGACATACTTATACATAAGAGGGCGATGAAGGATGAATAAATGTATCATGGTGTAGCGAATATTCCGATAGAGTTAATGAGGTCATAAAATTTTGTCTCGAATAAATAGAGTTTGAGAGGGAAAGTTAATGCTTCGGCAACCTCTTGAAATTTGCCGAAGCATTAGTAATCAAACGTCTAAAACCAGATCTATGTATACAAAAAGAGACAATAATAAATCTTTCTTTACCCTGGTAATGATAACCCCTTTTTTCATTTATTTCTCTATTTATTTATTTAGTTATTACTCCAACTCTTTTAAATTACATCATACATAACTGACTGATTTCAATTCATATTTTCTTTATTACTATTAATCTATTTTCATGAGTTCTAATCACTATTTCAATGTTCCGGAACTTTCCCTCTCAAACTCTATTTATTCGAGACAAAATTTTATGACCTCATTAACTCTATCGGAATCTTCGCTACACCATGATACATTTATTCATCCTTATTCACCCTCTTATGCATAAGTATGTCAATATCCATAATAATGTTGAATTTCAAATATTTTGGGTTGTAAGCAGCTGATGAGAACCTAACGAAATAAATGAATTCATATTATTCTGCACCAATCTTTGTTCTTACTCTCGTTAAGATAATAAAGGGAACTATGTGTATGAAATAATGATTCATATCGCAGAGGCTAAGACTTGTGTTCTGGACTTAACTGGCTGGGGTGAGTAGTGCGTTCGCTTCCCCTTGCTGTTTGACGACCTTATCATTCTATAATACTAACGTTAATAAGTACATCATGATTCTAATAGATACAGGAAGCAATGACTGAATTTAAGTGCAGAGTAAATTTTATGCTGAATCTCGTTCACATTCTTTTTAACTGATAACTCTAATTCTTTAAGGTGTTG